CCTGCTGATTAGTAAATATCCTTTAACGTTTTGAGTGTCTTTTCAAAGAGGTAAAAGCAAAAACATCTTCTCAATTCTATAACTCCAAAGATAGGATATATAGAATATTCTGAACTCTTTCCATTCTTTTAAACCTGTAACTAATAGATCACTGTCATCTTTGGATTAACTATATGTGTGTGCGAATGCTATAGAGAAGGGAAATATAAGTATTATTTTATATACCAAAGATGTGTTTGAATTATTATGATTAGATGATGTAATGGTAGATTATAGTCTCTATCATATAGTTACTTAATAAAGAATGATTATAGTTCAACCACTATAGAACCGATATCCTTGCTTTGGATTGACACCCTTCAACTTTTAACTAGTTCTATCAAAAAAATCTCATACACAAAGTTTGCACATTGAATTATTTTGGCGATCGTCTTGGAGCCAAGCTATGTTAGAAGGTATACTAGACTATCACAAGGCTCAAAGGTGGATGTCCCATAGGTGCAGGATGAAGGTAAGGAAAATATATTAAATTATAAGTTTCAATTTGTTCCTCTCATTATTAAGGAAGAGGAATTCCTGAGATTTCTCTGTTGTATATTAATAAAATTCAGGCATTAGGAAAAAGGCAAAAACATGATCATAAAGGGTTTGGTTGGAAGAGAGAACTTTGGAAAACAATAGAGGAAAGAAAAGATAATTTGTTCATTCTGAGGGAAAACTTAACAGAGAAGGGTCTAAAAATAAGGGTTAAAAAATATTGCCAGATGGGGAACCAGCAGTTAGCATAATGGCTATGTCACTGGACTCCCACGTAGTCGACCACAATTCACGTCCCAGACCTGGTGGCTTAAAACTCATGCCGGGCGTGTGTGCGTGCGTGCCCAAGATCCCTAGAGCAGAATGGAGGAGAAGGGATTGCAGCGTGACCATCCCCCCTGGGGGGTGATTTCTCGCTTTCTGTCTCTATGTCTCTCTCTGTCTGTCTGGCGAGCGCATGTGCCCTATAGTGAAAATCTCTCAAAAAAAAAAAAAATGTTGCCAGACAATTCTCCAAGGAAGATATACAAATGGCCAACAAAGCAAAACATGCTCAACCTTATTAGTTATTAGAGATACGTACATTATAACCAATATGAGATACCAGTTCATATCCACTAGAATGACTATAATCATAGAAACAGAAAGTAACAAATATTGGTGAGACTGTGGAGACATTGAAAATCTTGTTCATTACTGGGGGGAATGTAAAATGGTGAACAGTTTGGCAAGTCCTCAGAAAGATAAACATATTATGAACTGAAATTTCAAAATTGCTAAAGTAGTCTTTTTTCTTTTTTAAATTTACAGTTTATCACTGCATATTTTCACAGTGTGAGAATATCATGATTTTTCCCTAGCATGAATACAGTGCATATTAATCTAGTCAAAGACATTACCATACACATTATCATCATCAGAAACCTTTTCATTTTTGTGTCTGTCAATTGATTTTCAACCTTCTCATCACACTCACGAAGTTATCAATTTATGAGGTTAGGATATGCTAATTAGTTTGATTGACTTTTTTGTGCAATGCTCATACATAGATCAAAACATCTCATGGTATTCCATAAATATAGATAATCATTATTTGTCAGTCAAAAACTTACAAATTAAAAAGGAAATTAAACATAGAATTACTACCTGACTCAGCAATTCAAGTCCTAGATATATTCCCCAAAGATTTAAAAATAGATATTTAAACAAAAATTTCTACATGAATGTTTATTGTAGCACTATTTACATTGGCCAAAACGTGGAAACAAGCAAAACACCCATCACCTTATGAATGGATAAACAAACGTGGAAAAGCCATCCAATTCTGTATTATTCAACCATAAACAGGAATGAACCATTGCTATATATTATGACTTGGGCAGACCTCAAAACCATTATGCTAAGTGAGAGAAGCCAGACACAAAAAGTCACATGATTCAATTCATGTGAAATGTCCAGAATAGGCGAATTGTTAGAGGCGGAAATCAGATTATGATTGTCAGCAACCTGGGGAGGGAATGACCATTTAATGGGTATGGAGTGTCATAGTGGGGGTGATGAAAATGTGCTGGAACTAGATAAAGATGGGATTGCACAACATTATAAAAATACTAAATGCCAGTGAATTGCCCATCGTAAAGTGGTAAAAATTGTGAAGTGTATGTTATGTGAATTTTATCTCAATTTTTAAAAAGTTTCACTAGAACTTTTAAAATGTGCTGCAGTCTGTCCTTCTCAGCCTTTTGGCATTTTCTCAACAGATTGAATAAATGTTTGAATTGTTCTCAATTTATATTTCTTTTGTTTGTTTTGTTTCGTGGGCAAGGCAAACCAGAAATCTCTAACATTTATGTAAGGGATGCTTTATTCTCATTTTTATACGTCGTCTGAAACATTTTTCAGGACACAGTCATCACTGCTTTTGCTTTATGGTCTAGGATGTTTAGACTCAATCATTTGCTTTTGCATTAAAAGCATAGAACAAAATTATTGTTAATGAGGAATTAAGATTCTCATGCTGAATATGTTGGCTTATCTCTGATCATGTGTGTGGCATAGCCTTCTAGTCACGGGTGAGCTCTGAGTACATCTTTTGATTTCCCTAAGAGAATTTCCTAGACCTGATTGTGTAGAAAGATAGCCGTTTGAGCCCTGAATATCTGACTTTCTGGCCAACTATGAGTCACCACCCCACGTTTGAGAGAAACAAACAAAGTGATGTCCATGTGACCTCATATGGTCCCACTGTACTCACAGGGATGTAGGGATCGTTGCTACAGCTCTGGCCCAAATCGCTGCATGAATTAATTCCCCATGCTAGTGAGCTGGGCTGGACCATGTGTGAGACACATGGCTTGTGCACCTCTGACATAAGGCTTGTTTGATCCCCTGGGTACGGTGAATCTTGTAATTTACAACCCCCCCACCCCTTTTTCACTGATTGCCAACAAGTTTAGACATGTATTTTCAGATTTTAGCAAGGAATTAGACTTTCTAGCATTCATTTGTGCATGGCCCTGACATCTGATTTAATCTTCCTTCCTAATTCATACATGCTGGGATATCTTATTTTCCCTTTCTTTTGTTTAAACAAATGAATGTATTGCACTTGACTTTCTGTAGGGTGTATGTTTAAGCGGTCATTCATTTTCTTAAAGTTTATTTACTTTATATCTTTTCTGAGAGACACACAGAGTCTCTTCTCACTGTGATCTTCCTCCAACTCTCCAACCAGCAGGATCCCAGACATGTATTCACCTGCCATATTTTCTGATCAACTTGGGATTTGAAACTTCAGTCAGCCATGTGGTTCCTAGCATTGCAGTTCAGTAGGTTGAACTGCGACTATAACTGGGCCAGAATTCACATTTTTTTTTTTTTTAAATAAAGCAAGGACCAGAAATTGATTCCATAAATAAAATCCCACTTCTGTATTACCTCAAAAGACAGAAATGCAGGTAGTGGCCCTCCCACCTGCTCTCTCTGAGTCTCTCTCTCTCTCACACGTGTGCATGTGTTGTGCAAGAGGGCACACTCGAATGTCCACTGTCTACAGAGGGAGACCTTCATTACAGAAGTACTTTCTAATGTTCTAATCTGGAGCTCCTCATCAGAACTCGGCCCAGAGCAGCCTTCACGTCCTTGTTGCGCAGGCTGTAGATGAGAGGATTCAACATGGGGGCCACCACAGCGTAAAAGAGCGCCACCACCTTGTCTTGCTCCGCCCAGGCCACAGAGCGGGGCTGCAGGTAGGTAAACAGAACCATCCCATATGACATGGAGACCACAGTCAGGTGGGAGGCGCAGGTCCCGAAGGCTTTGCGGCGTCCCTGGGTGGAGCGGATCTTCAGGACGGCCGCCACAATGTGGGTGTAGGACAGCGAGACCAGGCAGCAGGGCACCAGCAGCACCACCACGCTGGAGGCCACGATGACCACCTGGTTGAGAGTGGTGTCCACGCAGGCCAACCGGACGAGTGCCAGCGTCTCGCAGGATGCGTGGTTCAGTACGTTTCGCCCACAGGTGGGCAGGCGCATTGTAACTGCTGTCTCCACTGCGGCATTAGCCAGGCCCACGAGCCAACAGACAGCTGCCAGTGCCACGCAGAGCCTCGGGCTCATCACTATCATATAACGCAGGGGGTCACAGACGGCCACATAGCGGTCATAGGCCATGGCGGCCAGCAGCAGGAACTCGATACCCCCGAGGGCCAGAGAGAAGAAAAGTTGAGTCCCACATCGGCTGAAGGAGATGGTCTTCTTCTCCAGGAGGAAATGCACTAGCATCTGGGGCACCCCGCTGGAAGTGTAGCAGATGTCCACCACGGAGAGGTGGCAGAGGAAGAAGTACATGGGCAGGTGGAGTTGCACGTCCAGCACAATCAGGAGGATGATGAGCCCATTGCCCAGCAGGGTCAGTAGGTAGGTGACCCCAAACAGGACAAAGAGTGCAACCTGGGTCTGCCTGTCACTGGAGAGGCCCATCAGGATGAACTCACTCACCCAGGTCCCATTGTACCTCCTCATGGAGCTGGGGTGGGGGATGGCCAGGCAGCTGGGAGAGGGGGAGAGGAGGAGGGGCAAGCAAAGCGCTCAATTTAAGAGTCTTGAATTAAGTTCTGGGCTAGGATTGGAGCTGGAATTGGGACATAGACTCTTCATTCTCTGACCTAGACAGCTAGGGGAGACATGGGAGAAAGGGGCATTTGGCTCCTGACATTCAACTGAAAATTCTCAAGAAGAGTCCCTGCTTTGCCCACCTTTTACATGGAAGGCCCAGCAGAGATACAATGAAATAGGAGGTAATCTATCAATGTAAATGGAAAGACAGAGGGAAAAAAGTGTGTGTAAAAGGGAGAAAGAATGATTAAGGTAAGGAGAAGAAAAAGTGAGAGGGAAAGAAAAACTAAGGAAGGTAGAAAAATAGAAAAAGAGGAAAGGAAAGTAGAAGTTACAAAGGAAAGGAAGGATTTTTCAACATGGGTAGAGAGGGTAAAATATTGTAATCAGATGCCCCTTGGGTCCTGTGTCATTTTCTAGCACTGAATTCAATTGTTTTTCATGCTGTTTCTGGGGCCTGTCTATGTCTTGGGAAAGAAATTCTACACCCATCAGTCTGACAAAGCTTAAATCCTTCAACTCAGTCTGGGTATCTTCTGCTGTATATCAAGAACTGTGATGGGCATGAGACACCTGTCAGTGAGCAAGAAAGACAGGAGCATGGGTCTGCTTTCTCGGTTTTTATAATTAAACTAGGGACACAGAGATTACATTAATAATTACAAATAATTAATTAAGTATAATTGTACTAAGTGCTGTGAGGAGAAGAACAAGGTTAGTATTGCGCTAATTAAATTTGGAGCCTTGTAATTAAGTCGCCCCTGTAGCTATGCCTTATTTCTCGGTATTGTGGAGTATGTGTAGTAAGTTGTGGGCATTTTAGATGTTTAAATAAACGATTAACAAAGCAATGTATTGAGAGCATTTGGAAATTTGTGAGACTCACCTCTTATTACTGAGTATGAAGTGACAAAATTCCACACACTCTTCAGATGGAGCGAATTCTCCTTTCTCAGCTAAGGTTATACTAGGTTATCTCCTTCCCAGAATGCTCTAGAAAAGTAGAACTAAATGCCATTAAAAAAATAGAAATATAATCTCTAGGTGTATTTTCTGCTCAAAAGAATATTTAGTTAGTAAATTAATTAATTTAAAAACTTGAGTACGTGAGTATGTTGAGACCAACAGATAGTGTAGTAGTTATGTTGCTGGACTCTCATGTAGTCAACAGCAGTTCGAATCCTGGACCCAGTGGCTTAAAACTCATGCTGGTTAGTGTGTGTGCATGCCCAAAATCCTGCACTGTGCTTTCAACCAACATTTATGAAAAACTGCGTTTCAACATTAGGAATTTCTGTTTAGAATATCAGGAGCGCTATGGAATTAAAAAAGAAATAATAAAAAACTAATCTTGAGGTTGTAAAATTCAATGAGAGCATATGTGTGCATGCTATCACAGCTGGGCAGAAGATAAATGCAATACATCAGCATTAAGCAAACCGGAATGGAGCCACAGAATCAAATACACTAAATTGAAAAATGTAATTCAATTGAGGTTTCCTTTGGCTGGAAACAGCGGCTGGAGCTCTGCCTCCTGGAGGAAGAGAACTAGCAGAAGGCCTGGATGAGCGGCTCCAGGCCTCTTGGTTTGGCCCTGTTCCTGCAGTGGCCAGAAGGTGTCACTGTAGAGACTGCTAAGAATAGAAACTGCCTTTGGGTTTTGAGGGGCCGAGGTGAGAAGCTGAGGTCCCATGGCAGGGAGCCCATGGCCGAGGGAGCTGCTCACACCCTTGTATCTGCAGAAGTAACTCAATTCTGACCTCCTGTGATCTGTAGGCCATTTACTGCCATAGACACAATCTTTATCTTCAGCGCTTAGATCCAGGGTCGAATTCCCTCTGAAGGTTATCAAACCTATTCAGAATGTAAGAAATCAGAGACACCAGGTGTCTTATTCCTTTCACTTTTTACCAGGGATAAGGCAATTGGCCCAGGTCTTAGATCTACTTGGGGACTAAGTTGGGACAAGATTCAAGGCTGCCTTGCTCACTCTCACTTCTCCCTCAGCCCACCAATGAGGGGTGGGAATGGGTTCTGGAAAGAGATGCTCTAGGAAAGGAGGCACCAGAAGAGTCTTAAATGGAAGGCTTGAGACCTATACCAATAAAGCTCTTCTCCTTGTAAAGAAATGCTAGATGTCAAATAGGAAAAGCCCTGAATGAGAAGAGGGATCTGAGTTCTAGTTTGCCTCTTTCTTTAGCCTGTCCTGTGCTCTGGGCAAGTTACTTGACTTCCCTGAGCCTCAGTGTCTTCATTTGAAAAGTGGAAAAGTGTCAATTACAGTAATGACTATCTCACAGTATTCTGAGTAGGGTCAGATCAACCCAGGACTATGATGTGCTTTGTAAAGTATTAAGCAGACGTAAATAGCTATTGTTTTTTTTTAATTAATTAATTAATTTTTTTATTATTTTATTTTTATTATTCTTTTTTTATTTCATTTTCTTCCATACATTCAATCACATTATTTGTCTTACAAAATGGATATTTCAACAGTTGAACATTTCTCCCTAGTACTGTTGATAAATACAAAATATTTCCAACAGATAATACCACACCTCTTTGTGCCATTAATGCTTTGCCTCCCTGTCCCTCCCCCAAATTTCCTTCCTCAGACCCTCCTCTTTCACACACACTGTATCTGGTATTTACATCTATATACTGTGTTTCTGTCACTCTACTCAACCAATTCCAATCACTGAGGTTAATTCTATCGAGAAATAATTTGACAATGGGGACAAGAAACAATGTGAGTATTTGCTTATAGCAGATGAGTGTCAGAAAGTTAACAGAGTGTGGGCTTTTGCCATAAATGCTATTGCCTAAACCAACTAATCACAGAGACCCTTCTTAAGTACAGTGAAAATTAAGACAAAAGGTTCATCTACATGATGATGCTTTAAGTGATGATAAACTATTTTTAATAATACAGAGCCTTATTCTGAACTTTTTGGGATAGTTAGAGAATTTCATTCCACTTTGCTCAACTCCGTAAACATTTCCAGAACCCTGAGGAGAGCCTGGTCCAGAGGCAAGTGGTGGAGTAACAGGGAACAACGCCAGCTGGTCTCCTCCAAAACTCAGTCTGGCAGGGAGGACAGAAGAGGTGAGTCACCATGACCTTATCGGAGGAGTTTTTACATCTCATAATTGGAGACACAGAGTCTGTCTATGTTAATAGCTGGAAGATACCTAGAAACAATAAAGTAGAAGCAAAGAAACAACCAGTTCTTCCATGAATTCAAAAAATAAATGTAATTTAAGGTATACTGAGACTCAAATAAGGAGTCCTGGCTTTCAACCTATATAAATAAACCATCTATGGATCATTGTGCAAATTGCTACATGTCAAAGCCATGTTTCTTCATCTTCAGAAGGAACGAGTTAGATTAGGTTACCATCCAGATTTCTTCCAGTTCTAAAGATTTGGGATAAATAAATATTTGAAGCAGTGTAAAAGGGAAAAATAATTTTTTTGGTCTTTGATCACCCTAAGGATATAACTAGTAGGTGTGTAGACAATAAGAGATTATGAGTTACTGGGTTTGGGGATCAAAGAATTTAAATCACACACACAAATGTTTGGGAAGGTGTCAATAAATAAGAATAGTTGATTCAAAACAAGAGACTAGGGAAACAGGTCAGGGGTTATAACAGGAGAAATGGGGCAACCACTTGGATCAGGCCTGACAGGTTTTGAGGCTTCTAATACATGAGCTTCCCTCCTAAGTCCTGATCGTTTGGGATGATCCTTTACTGGGACAAAAGCTATCTTTGTTTCATGGGAATTTTGCTTCTTGATAGCTAAGAATTTCCATCTTCTTTTTCAAGAGAAGATGGAGGTTTATGTCTTCTTTGGTTCTTGTACCAATCCTAGACCTTCTCCATTCCTTATCTCCACCATAATACAAATGCCTGAAGGCCAAGAAAAGAGCCTCTCTCTTTTCATCTCTATTCTTTACTTCCTTCAGTGTCAGTTTATTCTATTGATTGGATGACTGACCAAGAATGTGGAATCCATTGGGTTGTTTGAAAACAATGAGCTACTTCATGTAGGTGATAGGAGGAAAATGAAGAGCCTCCAACTACAACCAGTTGGAAAAGCAGAGTAGAACTTTTCAAGTCCAGACAAGGCTTGGACTCTACACTCTCCCACCTTCTCTCATTCCCCTGTGGGAGCTGAGTACTCACCTCATGGACAAGACTCATTTTGAATGGAGAGGCAGCACATCTCGCATGATGCTCCTAAAACAGCTGTCCATCCTCTTCTTGGGGATGGAGGTTTTGCTTTGTCAGTCTTCTCTGATAATTTTTCAGAACCTAGGACTCCCCAGAGGGCAATTAGTTGCTTTTGGTGTGTTCTCTTACTCATCCTTCGCCTCAGCTCCTTTTAACCACAGCTCCCCCTCTTCTGAGTTCCCTGTGGAATAAACATTCTGAAAACATTTGATCTCAACTTTTAATTGTCCTTCTAGTTCCGAGGCTAACAAGCCCTTCCCTGACTCTTCTGGGTCTTTCACTACCCTGTAAGGCTATGGGATTGCTGGAGACTTTGGGTAGGAGTCAGAAGACAGGGATATTTGCTTCTTTGACCTGGTGAGAAGGGATTGAGAGTAATTGGGAAGGCAACCTCAGAACCTGGTCTCTTTCTTAAGGGAAGCACCACCATGTTTCCTCCTACACTTCTAATTTTAGCAATCAGGACATGATGAGTTATCCTACGATTGTTTACATCTATGGCCTGAGTTCCATTGAGAGTTCACAGTCATTAAAATATATCCACAGGCTCCTTGGTGGTCTCCTGTATCACATTTCTGTTGAATTGTGTTTCCTTTGCATATTTTCATATCACCAGAAGCTTTTCCAGCTTTCAATAATCTTGACCTCTCAGTTCTTGGTCAGTTTCT